GTACTTATATTAGATGGTCACATCATTCATGAGCTACAAGGCCATGAGAGCTCTTTAGATGTCCTTAATCAGGAGCATCAAAAATCACCCCATGCACTGGGCTGGATACAGACCATGGGGCTCCTTGAGGGCTGAATCTGGGCTGAGGCAAAGCATGGCAGTGATGTTGGTGGCAGGGCCAATGGTGACTGAACTGGGACCAGTATGCCTGGTAATGGTTGGTCAAGCAGTGGTAGCAGAGGGACAAGTGGCCACAGGGCAAGCCAGGCTGTATCAGCATAGCCCTTTCTGTTGCTGGGGGACTTTTCCCAGGGGCCCCAACTTCTATGGGAGGCCACTCCCATACCTAGCCACACCCCTTGCTTCTATAGCTCACTGGTAGTCTGACGGGCTGGATGAAGCAGCTCCATGGGCCAGATGTCTGATGCCCCTAAATGAGTGCATATAAAGCCTCTACACAGCATCGTCCTCCATTTGGTCTGTCACATCACAGCAAATAATCCCTTAGAAATGTTTTCAAGTTCTAGCTACTTTGTAAGGGGTTTTTTTTTGTTCTCCTTCACCTCTTAAACTAAGTGCCTTAGTTTCCATTAGTGTTTCCAAAAATAGCGTAAAACTATCCCTACTAGAGGGTGGCAGGAAAAAAAAATAGAGAGAGCAGATCACTTAAACCACAAAATCCAATAGGCCACTGGTTAAGAGGGTTCACTTAGGATGTAGGAGCACCAAGTTCAGGTCCCTGCTTTGCCAGATTTAAGACCAGTCTAGTACACACCAATTGAGTGCCCTGATTTCTGTCTCACTGATAAATTTATTCTCGTTGAAACTGGTATATATATCCTTCTGAAAAGCTCTGGTTTTGGCAAATTTATACTATCCGGGGAAAACTGTTTTGCTAGAACCTTTCTGACTAGGTCTCATCACCACTTTAAAGTATGACATGTCAGGTAGAAATGAAGAAGTAGAAATGAAGTCTGAATCCCACTAGGAAAACTGAACATTTCCTCCTTACAAGGTGCAGCTACAGGTCGCTGTACGGCAATGTTGCTATAGCACCATTCTTCAGTGCTTCCTTTTGGATGTACTAAACCACAGTGCAGTATGGGTGGTTACTGCGCCCTGCACATGGTGCATGGTTACATTTCCTCAGTATGTCACCATAGCGGTGTGCTATACCAGTGGAACATGCTGGTACGGCAATATAGCTGGTGATCATGTGTAGATGTGTGATCTCCATATTGCCATAGCATGCTGTGCAGTGATGTACAGCATCACTGTGTTGCTCTGTGGGGGTTGCGTAGACACATCCACAATGTTATAAAGCTTCAGTTTTTAGTCTTGCAAGGCCACAACTGAATTAATGACAGATTACGGAAACTGTCCATAGTGTGCTCTGAGCTGCTAACAGATGCAATGTGATGGGGTTGGGACGGGGAGGAGTGATATTCCTCTTTTGGGTACAAAAATGGCAGAATGAGTTTTGAAATAATGCCATCTTTTTGAAGCCCCCCAGGTGTTTGGAATGATAGAGCAAGTTCAAAGAGATGAATTAATAATTAAGTGTACTTTCACAGCGATGTGACTAATTTATATGCAGTGCTATAACTTTATGTATATTTTATATATTTAAATGTCACAACTTCTATGGTATTTTGGTGAAGTTATCCTCAGATAGATAGATGGATATCTTTCTATAAAAATGTACAGGAAGGATTGTGAGATCTTTACAATATATGAGATATACGTATCTCACAATTCTTCCTTGCTGTTCCCTCTATGTCTGACATTTGGCTACAGAAAAATTAAAAAAGAAATAAATAGCAATTAACTGAATGCCTCAGTTGGCCAGATTATCTAGATTCTTAGGGTCATATATAAGCAGAAGTAGCCATATATTAAATCAAGTAAACCAATTAATAAAAATGTTGAAACAGGTCACCTGAAATTCTGTTCCTTTAGTAATAGATGTGCGAAGGATAACTTAAGCATTAACTAGACAAGGTGAAAAGCAACATGTTCTTATCACTGTTACTTCTGTTATCACTTAAAACAGCAAGCAAAAAAAATTGGGATTGTGAGAAATGCTGTCTGTTACCGCTGTACCAGTGGAATTTTGCCAACCCATTTAAGGAATTTATCTTAAAGCCTACCTATATTAGTACTTTGTTAATAGGACTTAGATTTAATAATTTACTTCTTTTTCCTAAAGCTATAATTTTCTGCTTTACATAATGGTTTATATAAACCAACGACATTTCTGGCAATATTCTCAAGCAATTGTCTTCATTGTTGTGAAGACAATCCATTAATGGCTGAACTTCTGTTCATAACGAAGATATTCAAGAAACGTTCATGCTTGAAGGATGAGGCTAAAACATGTACAATCTCAAATAGTAATCACTGGAATAAATAAATACATTTATTCCAATACTCATCATCATAGAAAACATTCTAGAAGAACGATATGTCAGAGTACTTCAGAGAAGCCAATTTCAAGGAATGAAGATACTGTAGTACAAAGTTATGGCCAAAAATACTGTATTTTTAACCAGCAAGATCGTTTGGGGGCAGTATTTATACAACTTGAGTTTTTTTTCAAAAACTATTTCCCATCCCCAAACAATAGACAATACATGCATTTGAACGACATTAAGAACAGCAAGTATGATTTTTATTTTTTAAATACTGCAAGTTAAAAATGTATCTGACAACCCCCCCTAAATATACAAGTCAAATAAGGGCTTCCTTTAGCATAGTAAATAAGGAGTCTAGAGACAGGCTGTAGCTGAGTATTTTATGAGGAAAAAAATTATTCCCAAACAGGTTTTCCTGGCTGATTTTATCTAGTATTTCTCTCACTACTTTCCATTAATTTAACTTGAATAACCTTTTCTTTTCCCGCAGAGCAAAAAGCTTATGTGGAAGATATAGTATTCAGCAAAGCAATGACCCTTAATGTATTTTTGATTACATGTAAATGCTATTTTTTTGATTGATGTAACTCATAAATCAAGGGTAAGGAGAAGAAAACAGAAGCTTTGGACTTAAGCTTTTAAGGACCTTAAAGGCATTATGGATCTGACAACAGGACTCAGATAGAGGACCTTAGTTAACTGATGCATACTAAAATAAAATGTTAGATTATGTCAAAAAGTGGGATTGTATTTATAAAAAAAGTGAACATCTGAATATCCAAAATACAGCAGTTAACCACATGCAACAAGCACTTTTAATTTTCTAGTCTGATGGTGACAACACAATGAAATTCCAAAGACATGTATTGAGTATATAATTGGTTTCTGAACTAGAGGTAGGTCTTTGGTAAGCTATGTTATCATATTGGGCCAGATCCTATTCTACCTATTAGATGCCTAAATGGATTTACGTGCCAAAATGTGATCCTTAACTCCCTGAAAAAACATAAACACACTGACTTTTGTGACAGTCCATCATCTTAGCCTTAACACTAAGTCACAGAAAGCAGGAAACAGGAAGAAGATCCATCTGACCTTTGATTGACTGTTTTTCAAGGACTTGGGTAGGGCAGAAGAGAATCACATTTAGGCACCTAGTAGGTAAAATGGAATCTGGCCAATTGTGCACACATCATTAAACAAATAGATGTAGCAGTTATTATGCAGGGGAACCTTTACATAGGTTCAAGAACAGCAGCACATATAGGAAATTATTTGGGTAATTTTTATTTTTTTCACATGGGTTAACATTTCTTTGTTTTTTCCCTATTATTTCATCCTTTTGTGAAGAATGCAAACCAAGGAAGGGTCATTAGGGTGAGAAATCTGAAAGTCATTTGCACCTTACAACCAAAGGCTAGGAGTCTAGCAGTATCTTAATATGCAGCCCTTTTTCCCCCCATTTAAAGTTTTTGCAAAACATGCAGTCAATTCTGACTGATATCCAGCATAAAAAGTCTCTTCTCCACTTTCAAACTTAAAAATTATGATTCACAATCATGTGGCAGTATGATTAAAAATTACAGTTCATACACCTTGACAATCAAAATACTCTGAATTATAAAAAGTAAACTGCCCTTATAGCTGCATTATCCTATATATACCAGGACAGTGCCAGTTAATTTGTGAAAAAGGCAAGTTTAAGGTTTTTGTAAAACACATATTACAGCTTTCTTGTGCTAGTGAACATCTAAGTACACACAGGTTCCCAAGAGGTTCTTTTCCTCCTCCCCCATTTATGACATTCAATGGAATCACATTGTTTTGACAAAGTTAAAAGGGCTTTTGTTTTGTTGTTCTTGCCCTCAGCTTCATGATAGAGGCACAAACTTTTGGACGCAAGCACTGTAAGGCATAGTAGAAACTACCAATTTACCAGGAAAAAAAATCAACAAAGGCATATATTGCAAGTGGGAACAGCTGTGTCATTGAAAAAAGGAAAATATGTTTTTGTAAACTGGCACGCTGCAATGCTGTGTTGGGTGACTGATGTAAAGCTTGCCTTGGTATACTGAAGATTTTTTTTTTCAGAACATGCTCAAATGATCTAAACATTTGCCACAGGTTCAACTCACCAAAAATATAGTAGAAGTATCCCAGTGGCACACACTCTTGAAAACTTTTGCAATCACAATATAACTATATAAAGCATGAGTAAACTTCTGTTTTGTTTTTTTTATACAAAACTTAAAACCAACTTTTCCCACCCTCCCCTCAAAAATGTCCCACAACAAAACAAAAACAAAAATCCTTTAATCTCCATTGGCCTCCTCTTGCCACAGCTCTGTTTATATCACTGAATCTGGGGTGATCAATGTATTCCCAGGTTACAAAAAGGGATATTATCATGTACCCCAGAGCCAACAGTGGAAACAGAAACGTAATTGTGTTTATAGCAAAATCAGGACCAATTTTATAATGCAATGCCATATATAAACAAGTCTAACTGTTCTCTTCATCTGTTTAGAGATTCAGTGTCACGTTTTTATAACCTACGTCTACCTGCTGTAGCCTTATTAAATAAAATATCTTGACTCATTAAAACTGCGACACTGATTACTTTTATGTTACATTTATGGTTTCCATAACCTTTAAAATACTATATTTTGTCACGGTATTCTTAGGGCAACTATGGTATATATCCATTAGTACATGTGTACAATGGTTTACAATTTTTCTAACTTTTCTAACGAAGGCCATCAGAGAGGTAAGCCTAACCTGTTACGTATTTGCCAACTAAAAGTTCTATCTATACCCCAAACTCACATTCCAATATGTGGCATTAGCTTTTTTAGCGAACCTGGTTTCTACATCTGAATAAAGCCCTGTCAAAACTTAAACATTTGTTTTGAAAGTGAAACCTTTGAGTGTTGTTTCAATTTACCTCCACTCAGGAATGTGCAAATGATTTTATACAGCACGATGCTAGTACCGCTCTGTACTATAGTAAGTTTTTTGTTTTGTAAATAAAAAAAAACAACAAATCCCTAGTCAAAATAAACTGACAAAATTTACATTCTTTTCTCTTAAAAAAGTAAATAAAATAACATTATTTAAAATGTGAATTAGCTATAAGACATACAATACAATTACATAGATACATATCAATACAGCACATTCAATCTGCCAAAAAATTAATGATTACAAAGCCAATATGGATGCTGCCATATATATATAATATATATTATATATATATGGATATATGTACAATGATTATAGCATTCATAATTGCACTATACCTACAACCAGTTTTAAATTACAAGGTGTTTTATGAGGGAGCAAAAAAAACTAACTGCTCTTATTATTGTTGTTTTGGGGTTGAGGGAAAAACATCTCATCAGTATTTATTGTTAACTTTGGTACTTAACTAATAAGTCATTCTTTTTTCCACCTCCCCTCTGCTGCTCTGTAGCAGCAATTTCTGCTGTAAGTGCACTCAAGTGCTACTTGGCATTGCAGATAATCAGTCCAATTACATGTCTGACCGCCAAGTTCTCTGTAGCTTGTTAGCAATCATATGACTAGTTACAAAAAACTTTTCAACCCAAGCTGCAGAATAAAGGCTCATCAATGTGTGTGCTGTCTTATTTTGTTGTTGTTAAAAAAAATTGCACATTTAGAATTCAAAAGTATTTTTCACTACTTCATTTACATGAATAAATCTTTCTAAAGTACAATGAGAGGCTATTTTGCCCTATCAAACATCCATTTAATCAGTTTAATGCAACCATATTGAATATGATTACTCATCGGTGCTTCTGTAACTAAAGGTGCCTTGACATTTTTCTAGAAAATATTGTCTTCACTCTCGTGCCATCTTGACACAAGGATAGAGTAAAATTGTCCTTACTGTATGTATGTGCATGATACACCTAGTAGCCTTTTCACTCACACTGTTGATTTTGGCATTGAAAATGGAATACTCTCTAAAAAAGGGATTGCATGAGCAGAAACTAATTGTTTATTATTTGGCAGTCGTCTCCGTCAGGTCTATTCCCAATCAGTTAATTTGGCATTTTGATCAGTATCTTACACTTCAAGATTATTAGATTCATAAAAGCCAGATTTGGCAACATGAAATTATTTTACACAATAAAAATCATTTTTAAATTGTGGACAAAACATTTTATAAAAGCTCTAACTTAGAAAAAAAATGCAACAACACTGTTTCAGGCTGCAGCCCCTGGGAAATATGTAGTGTCTATGAATGACATTTTTGTTTGGCATCTGTGAATAAAGAGAGAAAAAAATGCCACATGGCAATTAAAAAATTCTAACATATTTCAGAGGTGTCCTAATTGTATGTCTTTGTAATTTCATAACTGTTTTCTGCATTTCTTTCTGAATTGCCAAGATCTGGCTAATGTTCAAATTCAGGCATCTCTACAACTTCTCTTTGTGATCCTAGTATCACAGCCCAAAATGTGAAGACAGTATGAAAAATACCCATGTCAAGCACTTCAAAATCACAGTATTTAATACTGATGATCCTTCAATAGAAGTATATACTGTAAAATTAGAATGACTGATGGCTTAAATTCTGATGTTAGCATTTTCCTGACCTTATCACTCTACAGAAAAATAGTTTAGCAAGGAATCCAACTGGGAATAAAGGCCATTGTACCTTTAAAAAAGATAAGGGGAAGGGGGGGGGAAGGGAAAGGGGAGGAGAAAAAGGAAACCAGTTTGAATTGGATTCAATAGCAAAAAAATGCTATCTTTTGTGAGTGTACGACTGAAAATTTAAAACACATTAAGTCACAAGGTTTTGCCTAAAAAATGAGGAAATGTGCTGTGAATGTACTTCAGCATCTCTTGTTTTTCCTCCATATACTTTAAATAAAATCATAATATTAACTACAAACTCTGTGGACATTCACAGAGTCCAGGCCGGCAATAAATTAGTATTATGCAAATCATTTTCACAGGTAATACAGTCCCTCTTGTATATCTTCAATTACCCAAAGGGGCTTTTAGGGAGCCTAATAGGCACAGTTAGACCAGGTTGTATTCCTTCAGGTTCAACTGTAGGATAGTGTCCTTGACAGCAGCAAAGACGAAGCGAATATTCTCTGTGTCTGTAGCGCATGTGAAGTGGGAGTAGATAATTTTGTCACTGTCTGGATTCAGGTCTACGAACATCTTCAAGATGAACTCCCGTGCTGCTTGTGCGTCTCTCTGGGGTCCTGTACACAAAAAGACAAAGTTAGTATTTCTATTACAATTGAAAAACTGCTGCTTTGTTATGGACAACCTTGCTACAAATGGCAGAAAATGAAATAAAGCTGCAGTCATGATTCTTACATGAAAGAAATGTGGAAAAACTATATTAATAAACATCACCATGTCTTGCTCTTTTTTTTCCTGGTCAGACCTTTCAAAAATAAAATTGAGAAACAACTTCACAAACTGTTCATAAGGGATGATTTTTCAGCTACCTGTTCCCTTTCCCCATTAGTAAATAAGACGATAATTAATAGTAAATAAGAAAGTATTTTAACCAGGAAATTAAATATGCAATCAGCAGCCACACTGGGCAAACGAAAGAGAAATCTATTTCTTCACCCTTGTAAAACCTTAATGTTTAAGGGTTAGCTAGTATTTGGAGTATTAGAATGTAAACAGGTCAGTAAATGTAAACAGAAAACAAATCTTACATTAAATGACTCGTTAGTGCAAATTTTAAGTTAGATGTATTAGCAAAGGAGATAACTGGGTAAGAGAAGTTGCAAAATTTACTACTTTTTCTGCAGTGTAGGAGGATTTTAATATGTAAAAGTGAGTTACATATGAAACTGAATAACATTTAAAACTGTAGCAGATATGATACTGCAGCAGATAAAACTGAGTTAATTTTAACATTACCTGACACTGAAATTCGCTTGCTTTGTAGCTGACATGCTTTTGTTTTAAAACTGTTAATTTACACAAGGTAACATTGTTAGCACTGGGGTGATGTAGCCAGAATAGTCCAGGGAAAATGCAAGAGGCAAGGATTTTTGAGGATGATATTTTTTACTCGACCAACTGTACTCAGGAGGGACAGAAATGAGCTCCTGGGTACCATCGAATCCTTCCTCAGGTCACACAGGTAAAATTTTCACAGGTAATGTTCTAATCGATCAATTACTATCTAAATTAAACACAGTAATCACTCTATTAAAACTAAATTGAGATTGCAATTCTCCATGATGTGAAAATGTAACCTGACTGCATCCTCTGTTATATACACATGGGGCACACGTAGAACCTTCAACCTGAAGTTGTCCAAGGTGCATCCACTGCACAGCCAATACTGCTATATATAAGTGAGAAGTAGTGGTCCCAGGAAACTGTTTTCCTTTGCCAGCGTATGTGGGTCACCATACCAGTGCAGGTGGCCTACTCACTGGCCAGATGATGCCCTTACCCCCAGCAATTCTCAGGCATGGACTTCCACAGAGTTCCTATACATGTCACATATGCTCCTATATACAGCCTTGCCCTTGCCCATCTCAGTGCACTTAACATTAGTAATATTACCTATATTTCCTAGTTCTTATGTAGTACTATTCATCAACAGGTCTCAAAGTACTGAGCAAAGAATAAAAGCAGCTGGTCCTTCAACTTTTGAAAATTATTACAACAACTTATATTTCATCATTAGAATCTGCAGATGCAAACTGTTACCTGTTTGGATGAACAATAAATAAATACTTCAGATATCAGGGGGATAGCAATTCTCAACTATTAACTGAAAATAGTTGGGGGTGGAGATGGTCATTATTCTGGATGTTTCTATATTTATTACAGGTGCACCAATAAAGATTTTTTTTGGACGATACCAACGGCTGATTATTAACCAGCCATATCGACCGATACTGATCCAATACCTGATGTGCAGCCCACCAGCTTGGTAAGTCTATGGGGGGTAAGGGGCATGGGGGGGGGCAGATCGAGGCCCACATGGCGAGAGTGGGGCAGGGGCAGGCGCTGCCCAGTCATGGTGGGGTATGGGAAGGAGCTGCAGGGTAGATACAGAGAATTTTGGGGTGGCTTTAGCCCACCCTGTAGCACCCATGCCAGCACTGACCACTCACATAGGTTCCTAACCAGAATGCAGGACCTCCATCTAACCCAGGAGGTGCACAGCCCCACCAGGGGAGACGCCTTTTTGGACCTGGTGCTGGCCACGGGTGACGACCTGGTGAGGGGGCTGAGGGTGCTTGACCACCTGGGCGACAGTGATCATTGCCTGCTTGGAATTCACCATCCAGCGCAAGGTGGCAAAGGCCTACAGCAAGGCAGCAGCCCTAGATTTCAGGAGGGTGGACTTCAATGAGCTAAGGAGAATAGTTGGGGAAGCACTGAGGTGCTGGAGGGGAGGGGAGC